CGGTCCTGCTCATAATTGATATGGGATGGGTTAAACAAACCGATCACCTTGGCGTTGTTTGTCGGGGTGAACAGCGTTGTGTCCAGGTTCATCAGAGCGTCCCGGCTGTTTACGTATTTATAGCCGCGCGACTGGGCATGGGTGATCAGGTTTACGCTATCCGTACGCCTGCCTTGCTGCACCACAATGGCATTGTTAAGATCTCTGATCGGTTGCCCGTTTTTATCCTTCAGGGTATCATTAAATAACCTGGGCAGGAAGTGACGGGAGCCGCCACCCAATATAACATCTACTTCAACATCCACTTTGGGCGCAGGTAAAGTCCAGTCTCTGGCGGCGTTGTAGCCACCCAGTTTGGAATTAGGATCATTATAGATTGCCTGGTATTGGGCAACGGTGCTGGAAATGTATTGAGCTGCTATATAATCTTCCAGGTCACGAAACCAGATATGGCTGGCAAAGGCGGCAGGTGTAGCATGGGTAACCCTTGTGGAGGTGACGATGCCTACTGCATAACCGGCTTTCTTAGCTTTCTCCAGAATTGTTTCCACAGGAGTGCCGGTAGCAACATTAAAAGAGATCGCTTCGTTGTCGATCTTACCATCGCGGCCGGCTGCATACACACTTGCGCCTGGTCCGGAGTCAGTGATCCAGGAGTTAGCAGAGTGGGTGGTGGCCGATCCTGCATATTTCAACCGGTCAAGAGACAGGATATGGAATCCCGCATCGCTGGTAAAGCGCTTGCCCTGGGTGCCTTGTCCCATAGCCATACGGGCGGCCGTTTTTGCCGAAGTACCAAATCCATCCCCAATGTACATGATGACATTCTTTGGCTGTGCCATAACACTATTTGCTGCGATGAGCAACAAACCAGTAGTAACAATTTTTCTCATCTGGAAATTAATTTGGGCCAAAAGTATTGGGAGCCTGTTATCACGTTCTTGCCGTTGCATGAAGTTTCCATTATGGTTCCGTTATCAAATTAAGCGGCCGGCTTTGGTGACTGGTTTCCTGAGTTTATTTGCACGTCAAATACAATATGGTGATGAGGAAAGAAATATTTGTTTGCGTAGTGCTCCTGTTTTTAGGAGCAGGTCTGTCTGCTAAATCCCGGTTTGCGGTGACGGGGCAAGATCCGGTCCGGAAAGTATTTACGTTTAATAAGAAGCAGTATGCCATTACGGCCCGTCAATTGCTCTTGCTGAAAAATGATACGAGCCAATTGCTTTATACCCTCGCCGGGGGTATTAAT